TCAGATAAATTATGTAACAGTTGTGAAAACCCTAATGGGGATTAGCGGTCTTTCAATACCCTATTGAAATAGAAAATATACAGTTCTGCATTCTTAATACATGTTTGGTGCTCATTCCGGTTTAACTACACATATATTTCTCAAGCCACATGGCCCCTATATTGGACCTCTGCTTTGTGCAGAGCTGCTGAAATCAGGCAATTTGGGCTTACAAATTAATAAACTGAATGCACATTCGTGCACCCATTTTGATGGCAATCATGCCCAGTTGTATCTTTGAAAGCCATCTGACTGGGACTTTTGCATAAACTGGGCTATTTGCTGTATGTATATACACAGGCCAATTCATTAAAGCGGAAATTCACCCTAGAATTACTTCATGATTTTAAACAGCCATAAAACACATGTACCTTGATAAGTGCATACCAATATGTTTGACCTTTGTCCACGCTTTGATTGTCCAGCATTCAGCACTGAAATCTGCCAGTCATTTACCAGCAACACCATGCAACTTATAGGGATTGATTTACTAAAGACAAATAGCCTGTTTACTTTCCAAGGGAATTTTTCCTTAGCATAGTGAATGAGATGAAGCCCCACTGACTTCCATTATCCAATCATGTGGAAGCAAAAATACTTTTAAAAAAATGTTTCCTTTTTCTTGATTGGGAATACAGTGCAAAGCAAATTTTCACCGAATTCACTAAGCCAAGAGATAATTCCCTTGCAAAGTGAACAGCTTATCTGCCTTTAGTAAATCAACTTAATAGTGTCACTCTGCACCCCCATGCCATCTACATCTTTGTGTGGCAAAGTTTACTTCTACGTCTTTGTGTTGCAAAGTCATCTACGTGATTGCAAACTCTAACTGGGAAATACTTCTTCTATGACCTGATGCTATCAATTACATAAATAGCACAAAAGGGGTTGAATGACACCATGGGGGTGATTTACTAACCTAAACACACGCACGCACCAGGTGCGTGTGCATTTTTACACAGCAAAACCTATCAACCAAACACGAGCAACGTGTCACATTTTCACGCCGCTATGGCGCGTTTTTATGTATTTACGTATGTGCGCGTTATGTTGCATGCGCCATAGGCTACACGCCGCTCTAATAGCGGCATGCAAGTCTCTAAAAGCATATTTCCACTAATGCCATATATGGAAAAATCATGCACATGATGCATATATAATGCTGCTTCACAGTTTAGACAAAAATGGTTAGCTCATGCATTTACATTCCTGCATTCATCAACGCAAGCAACACAATGTAGACCTAATTTACACAACATCACCTTGCAATTCATGCAGGGCTTTGCACAACACACCTGCTGGGTGTGTACACACTACAAAGGTGTCTAGATTCCACCAATAGATCCTGCTGGGAGGGAACACACTACAGAGGTGTATACTTGTTCGTGGCACGTTTATAAGGTTAGTAAATCAACCCCCATGAGTTGCATAGTGTTTTTGGAAAATGGCCTGCAGTTTCCAATGCTGACTACTGGACAACCGAAGCATTGACAGGAGTCAAACATAGTGCTAAGAATAGTCTCAACAGGTCACCGACACACACACGGATAAATTCAATGTCTCTTGGATATGTTTATTGAAAAATGTCACGGCTGAAGCAAGCGTTTCAGGACCTCGCAGGGACCCCTCATTAGAGCGACATAGTCACCCCCATCCGTGTGATCACCAGAGCACCACCGCCATTGAAAGGTTGCAGACCGTAAGGAGTGCGATTGAAACATAGTGCTAAGGTACATATGTTATATGGCTGTTTAATGTTCATACAGTTTTATATATATATATATATATATATATTACACACACACATACACTGAGTTTCCAGATTATTATGACCACCCCATCAGTACTTCATTGGGCCGCCTCGTGACTCCACGAGATGTTGAAAGGTGATGCGAGGAATCTGACACTGCACTGTTGCCCTTCTGTTGTCTTGTACAAGTCTTGCCACTGTCCTTTCTGCCCTAACATTGACTATTCGGTGACGGCCACAATTCGCACGTTCAGACCCAGATTTTTGCCTGACAGTCCAGTCTTTGAACACTTTAACAACAGCTGCTCTTGAACATTTAACGAATTCTGCTGTTTTGCTGAAACTCGCTCCATGGCTCCGAGCTCCAACAATCATCCCACGTTCAAAGGCTGTTAAATCGCGTTGTTTACCCATATCTTCAGAAAAAAATGACTTCTACTATCGTGGTAAACAATCTGCTTCCCTATCTAGCAACTTCAGCGTGAAATTATAGCTAATTATAGCTAATTTGCCTACAAACGTCAGGTGGTCATAATAATCTGGCCACTCAGTGTGTGTATGTAATATATATATATTATATGTTAGTATGTATATACATACATACACACACACACACACACATATACACACACACACACACATATATATATCCAAAGTGGACTTTAAGAAAATGTGTTTGCACAGTTTTAGTCAAGTGTAATTTCAATATACATGAAAGTAAGACTGATCAGCCATATTGTTTTGAGCAGTGGAAATCTGTGAAAAACATTCAATTAAGTCTAGCATTATACCATAAACCCAATGCTAACGAGCAGTTAATTATATAACCCCAAGCCAAAAGGAAGATTTTAGAAATTTCCTAAATAATCACAATTATTCATATTAAGCAAAAATTCATATTAAGCACCAGACAGAATAATTATAAGGTGATCACATTAAAAGGAAAAAAAAAATCAGTTATGTCTACAAATTGCGATTATATACACAGAATTTTGTAAAATGTCAGAAACAACAAGGACATTCATTACTAAACTAATTAACAGAAGTTTTCATGATGTAGGCATTTCAAACAAGCAGCTGAGAATAATAAATTGAAAAAGTCATATATTCTGTATTAAAAATACTACTGATAAAAATATGATACGGATTTATGTTGCAATATAAGAATACATTGGAGATTTGCCAGTATAAAACCCCATCACATTTTAATCACAGGTAATGTAGCTGTAAAAGAGAACTCTATAAATAGATTTATTAATATCATTTGGCATTCATACACGAGTCCTTTCACTAATTATTTTGAGAATTAGCATGCTAGATATAATCATGTTTCAACTATGCAAGGGCATGTTGTACTAGCTCACGCTCAGGGGAATCAATATGTTGAAATCGTATTCTAAAATGGAACATTCTGCATTAAAACATGGATTAAATATATGTATCACAGATTTTCTATTAGAGATCAGAAAATATGGTTCAAAATTGATTTCTTACACAAAGTTTTGCTGAGCTTAAAAAAAAAAAAAATTCACATGGAAACAGGTGCAGCTGAAGATAAGTAAAGGTTCTTATGTATAGATTTTCATCATTCTATAGGCTCAGGCCTAAACTGCTATGTAAGGTGCACATGAGATAACATATTTATGTATGTTTAAAGGACAAAATTGATGTCCATGATTGGTGGTGACCATTAGAGAATATTGGATTTTTCAAAGCATGGCTCATGTTAGGGTAATGGAGTTTTGCTCTTTCATGCTCTACATAAAAGGTATACTATGCCTAAACACAATTTATGTCATTTATGACATCATTGCTAATTAATGTGCTATTAATATTAAAGCAGTACCCCAGGTAGATATTAAAACCTTTAATGCAGTTGTGTATTAATTTTAAAATAACTATTTTACATACAAATAGCATAAATACCTAAATCTGTCTTAAGGTGGCCACACACCTTACGATTATCGTACGATAATCGTATGCGATCGACTTTTCGTACGATAATCGCAAGGTGTGTGGGCAGTGTGCAATCGCAAATACTGTACAATCGTACAACTTTTGACTTTCAAGCATGTTCGAAAACTTTGACCGATCGTACGATTGTTGCAAGGTTAGTGGCGTTTCCGTACGTAAAAAATCATACAATCCAACAGCTCATGAGCAAACGAAAATACGTGCGGTTGATTACCGCAATTCATCCAGGTGCTTTATTTTTTTTTAATTGCGGCTAATTGAACCTTGCAATAATTGGGGCATATTGGGGCCGCCGTACGACAATCGTACGGCGGTTCGATCATCGGATGAAAAGTGTTGTCCGATAATCGCAAGGTGTGTAACCACCTTAAATATCAGCATGTGTCATTCCCTGCGCCACAGCACATCCTAAGAAAGGGAGGGGCAGCACTAGAAGCTAATCATGGCCTGCTGCATGCACACATGCTGACAGAAGGAGAAAGCAGGTAGGAGGTATTATGTTGCTGATTTTTCACTGTCTGATTAGCAGACCGTAGGTTAGGTGACACCACTGTATTCCTTAACTATAACAGAGAAAATGGTGTCACCTTCCTAGGTGAACTGGCTGGCCAAAGTGAATGAATTACAAAAGTGGATGGACTAAACACAAAAACTTGAGCAGCTAAGAGTTCATATATGTGTATTTTCAATGTGTATTTAGCTGTTTACCTACAGTTCAGCTTTAAACGGAATAAGTGCACAAAGAAAACGCCTTTTCTTAGACTTTTAACATGAGCCCCCTCTGTCCAAAAAGCCATTTAAGACTTGACAGAGACTGACTATCCTTCCAAGGGATAGACAAACTGGAATACTGGACATACTGGAATATTTTCGTACAAAGATTCATACAAAAAAAACTTGTCAGACCATTCGCTAATTCCATCAGAGACTTGTAGACTTTCGTTAAAAATGTAATTTGATGTCAACATTCAATATTAAAAAGTGACTGGAGTTTCTTGAATGAAAACCACATTTACTTGTAAAATTTCATTTATGCATGGCCAGCTTAGGGTTTGGTTGTCATATTCAATCCACAAATATTGTTCTACAGGCAAAGTTGCCTTCCGCAAGCTATGCACCATTCTCATTATCAGTGGGAGCAAAGAAAAAAAAAACAACCTAAAATCTGAACTACATAAGTACTGTAGACATAAATGTACAGTAGATATCACACTTATCTTGTTGCACTATGACTTACCAAATTCATCACATATGCTTTCGTTATCGATCAGAGTTGGGTGATCAAACGTATCCCGGCAGTAAAGGATCTTTGTGTTCTTGTTGATGATGGGAATGCCCCCCAGTGCCTGAACAAAGTGTTCCGCCAAAACTGAAGAGGGTTTTGCCTGGATACGTTTCAGTATTGAACGATATCGACAATACTGGGGATAACTTAGCACCATCACATTACCCTCATTTTCATCCTCTCCTACAAATAAAAAGAATAAAGATCAGTTCAGATGGCTGTAGGCAATAAATATACATTTATGTGTATTTATGTAACATGTATACAGCACCAACACATCTTGTAGCTTTGTGTTAAGAACACCAAGCTATCGACATCAATCGAATGCTCTGAACCTAGTCCAACAAATGCATACAATCTAGAGCAAGTGCAGAAATAATACAATCGATCTTCTGTATGGTTGTTGGACTGTCAGATAAAACTGTGGCAACTGGGAACTTGTATATGAACATTCTGCATTTCAGGATTGCAAAACCGGTAAGTATTTCCAAATAATATGCATTAATGTATTATCATTCTCATCTCAGAGACTCATCATTTAAAAAAAAAAAAAACTTTAGGATAAAAATGCCAGCTCAGATTAAAACACAGCCATTTAAATGTGGCAGACTCCATCCTAGTTGGTCTACAAATATCCCATATTTCTACCAGTGAACCCAATACCAGCATACAATAATATACATAAACCCAACATTTGGCAAAATAACATGGGCTGGAATACATCCACAATCTTTTAGGCTCCATTAATCTGGCTCTTCCGGCAAGCTAGCCTAGAAGATGCATTAGACAATTGTAAATTTTTCCAGACAGTTTAATTTAATAGAGGACCATTTGTTCTTGCCTACAGATGAAGAGGGGTCTACAATTACATTTGAAAAGAAACTTCTTAAGGACCTCAGTCCTATACTCAAATGACCTAGCCAAATCTGATCTATAAACCTTACATTAGCCAGAATTCAAGGCAAAATGTATCTTTCAGAAAGCTCTGCTATTAAAATAGATTTCCCATTTTTAACATTTCAAACAAATTAGCTCTATCAAGAAACAAAAATTGAACAGACTACGCTTAAGCTACCCTGACCGAATCATATGTTTGCAGAAATTTATCACACTTTCTTGAGAAAAATACAAACTGTAGATATCGAATACAAATAGAGTACTTTTCCAATTTCTAACGGATATACAGGTTTTTTTTTTTAGACTATACTGTCCACAAAGTAGTTCTATTCATTTTTTTTTTATCCCTATGTACGTGTTCTGTATAGTGTCCCTTTATACATAGCTACAAGAGTATGGGTGGAAATTGGTCTTATGCTTTATAAAATAATAAAATAAAATGGGTAAATGTAATTTTGTTTTTAAGTTTAAAGTCAATTCAACAACGATGTTTTATGTGCTTCACAGTAACTGCTTTGCATCTTGGCACAGCCATTTAATGTTTAAAGAATCTAAGAAACATTGCTCCTTTGTGAAAACAGAATGTTCTCTTTTTCCAGATTTCCGAAGAACAATCCAAAAGTATGAAAACATAACGTAAAAGTACAGAGAAGTAAAATGCTAGCAAGATGTTATTAGATCTTAAGTGAAATGAATGTTTTATGCATTATTTCCAAACTGAAAGAGGTCAACAACTTTCTTTGGTGTTATAGTAGTAACAGGTAAACCTACCCCAACCCCCACCCCCTGGGAAAAAAAATGGGACTTTCGGGTTCAATAAAGTTTTCTGTAGAGTCCACTATAGTTGATAAAGGTTGATCAAAGTGGAAACAAAAGCATGCCAGCTGAATAATGAAATAAAACAACTGTACTGATCTTTATTTATCTTATTCAATATGCTTCTGGAATATTTAATCCTTATATTGGAGCAAGAAAGAAATAAAGCACCGCTCTTCCATGGGTTTAGCAGGGCAAAGACAGCTGGGTGCTCGCTGGTAGGAGTGTGTCTTTACTACAACCAAGTAGGTATAATAAAAGGAAAAACTTGGACGCACTCAGTTCCACTCTGAATCAGTTTAATTAAAAGTTCAGATGCATTGAGAACTACATATTTTCTCCATTTACAGATCCTGTCAAAGGATTTGTGAAGGGATGACGTGGCTGTGTGGGCGGAGACACACACAGCCACACCAGATTTTAAAAATTGCAGCAGACTAAACATGGTAGAAAAGGTAAACTTAGCCTTTAATATAAGTGTAAGCATGGTGAACCAACAATGCAAAGGCTCAGAACTTGATAGAGTCCTGCCTGAGGTCCGCCCCCTCTGACACGTTATACCCAATCCTGGGCTTGGTCATAGAGATCTTTGTAGACTACTGTATTTCTTATTGTATTTAGGGCTTGTGCAAACAGAGGTTGTATTTAAATTAGGGATGCACTGAAATCTCGTCCACCCCAAACTCGCTCATCCATGTCTTTATGGACCTTGCTTTGTGCACCGATGCGCAGTCATGTTGGAACAGGAAGGGGCCATCCCCAAACTGTTCCCATAAAGTTGGAAGCATGAAATTGTCCAAAATGTCTTTGTATGCTGATGCTTTAAGAGTTCCCTTCACTGGAACTAAGGGGCCAAGCCCAACCCCTGAAAAACAACCCCACACCATAATCCCCCCTCCACCAAACGCTACACAATGCAGTCAGGAAAATACCGATCTCCTGGCAAATCGCCAAACCCAGACACGTCAATCGGATTGCCAGACAGAGAAGCTTGATTTGTCACTCCAGGGAGCACGTCTCCACGTCTTTAGAGTCCAGTGGCAGCGTGCTTTGCACCACTGCATCTAACGCTTTGCATTGCACTTGGTGATGTAAGGCTTGGATGCAGCTGATCGGCCATGGAAACCCATTCGATGAAGCTCTCTATGCACTGTTGTTGTGCCAATCTGAAGGCCACACAAAGTTTGGAGGTCTGTAGCTATTGACACTGCAGACAGTTTGCTGTATGCACTTTTTTTTTCCATTTTGCTTTCTATGTTATGTTCCTATTTACTATTCTCTTTTATGTGGCCCAAGAACTTTTCATGAGAACAAAGGCAGTTGTCTCTCAGCTCATCTTCAATGGATTAGTCCACCTTCTTGATCCATCATCTTTGCAGCAAAAATCTTTTAGGGGTAATTTAACAGGATCCTTGTCAAGCTGCTTGTCGCTGTAATAAACTGGATAACCATGCACAGCTTTTCCCTCTGTCTTTCTGAATGTGTAACAAGCAATCTTATTATATTAACTGATATTATTATGCACATAAATCCCTACACAGGCAGCTATAAGGGAGCCTATGAGGAATGATATCTGTGTTATGGATCCCCTGTGCCTCTGGATCTTGTAACAGTCATATGGTCTGTTATGGCTTCACTGCATACCAGTGAAAGGTATCTTTATGAAATATCAACTGTTATTCATTCTTGCTAGCAAATATTTAAAGGATAAACGGTTTCTAAAGAACCTTTCAATACAATCTAAGAACGCCTACCTACTGCACACATTAGGTTTACATAAATACAAAAAACCATGATTTAAATACAAGACCAAATCCTAATGTAAAGTAATATTTCTGTCAGCTAAGCTCATTCAATTGCCTAAAGGCTTCTGAGTTCTGCAGAAAGAAAACAGGTGTCTAAAGATACTACCTACATTTTGGCATTAGGCATCATCTCCCCACTAAACTTCGTTTCTTTTTATATTCCAACTGTTCCCATAAAGTTGGAAGCATGAAATTGTCCAAAATGTCTTTGTATGCTGATGCTTTAAGAGTTCCCTTCACTGGAACTAAGGGGCCAAGCCCAACCCCTGAAAAACAACCCCACACCATAATCCCCCCTCCACCAAACGCTACACAATGCAGTCAGGAAAATACCGATCTCCTGGCAAATCGCCAAACCCAGACACGTCAATCGGATTGCCAGACAGAGAAGCTTGATTTGTCACTCCAGGGAGCACGTCTCCACGTCTTTAGAGTCCAGTGGCAGCGTGCTTTGCACCACTGCATCTAACGCTTTGCATTGCACTTGGTGATGTAAGGCTTGGATGCAGCTGATCGGCCATGGAAACCCATTCGATGAAGCTCTCTATGCACTGTTGTTGTGCCAATCTGAAGGCCACACAAAGTTTGGAGGTCTGTAGCTATTGACACTGCAGACAGTTTGCTGTATGCACTTTTTTTTTCCATTTTGCTTTCTATGTTATGTTCCTATTTACTATTCTCTTTTATGTGGCCCAAGAACTTTTCATGAGAACAAAGGCAGTTGTCTCTCAGCTCATCTTCAATGGATTAGTCCACCTTCTTGATCCATCATCTTTGCAGCAAAAATCTTTTAGGGGTAATTTAACAGGATCCTTGTCAAGCTGCTTGTCGCTGTAATAAACTGGATAACCATGCACAGCTTTTCCCTCTGTCTTTCTGAATGTGTAACAAGCAATCTTATTATATTAACTGATATTATTATGCACATAAATCCCTACACAGGCAGCTATAAGGGAGCCTATGAGGAATGATATCTGTGTTATGGATCCCCTGTGCCTCTGGATCTTGTAACAGTCATATGGTCTGTTATGGCTTCACTGCATACCAGTGAAAGGTATCTTTATGAAATATCAACTGTTATTCATTCTTGCTAGCAAATATTTAAAGGATAAACGGTTTCTAAAGAACCTTTCAATACAATCTAAGAACGCCTACCTACTGCACACATTAGGTTTACATAAATACAAAAAACCATGATTTAAATACAAGACCAAATCCTAATGTAAAGTAATATTTCTGTCAGCTAAGCTCATTCAATTGCCTAAAGGCTTCTGAGTTCTGCAGAAAGAAAACAGGTGTCTAAAGATACTACCTACATTTTGGCATTAGGCATCATCTCCCCACTAAACTTCGTTTCTTTTTATATTCCACAAAGAACTTTACAGAAGAAAATTGGTACTTTTATACAAAAGAAAGGCGAGGTACCATAAAGAAACTACAAGACAAATGGAACATGAGTGGCTACAAAGAAAATGCAGTTTCCCTTGCTCTATTTTTGATGAGCTAAAATTCAAAGTGGTCTTCAAAGGTGGCAGCTTTAAAACACGCAACATAACTAAATTGAAATGCTACTATTTTGTAAAGGTTATAGAACTATAACACAAACTGCAGTCTAAACCAACTACACAGGGAGAAAAAAGAAGGATAAGAAATGCAAACTATAGC